GAAAAATTAAATTGAATGCATTTTTTAGGGTTTTGACCCTTTTATTGAAAGAAAGCATTTTTTTTGTTTATTTTTGAATTAAGAAGAAATTAAATTAGGTTAATTAAATAAATAAATTAATTAAAAAAAGATATTTTTTTGGATTTTTGGATATTTAAAGAAAATAAAATAAATTTGGTTTAATGTTAATAAAACCTAATTATCTATATTGATTTTAAATATTGCAAAAATATTAAAAGTTATTCTCTAATTAAACTAAATTAATTGAGTTAGTATTTATTTACAAAAATAAAATGATGAATTTAATTTTAATAAATAAAATATATTTTTGTGTTTTTGTTGTATGAGGAAAAAATTAATTGGTTAATTAAATAATAAATGATAAAACAAAAACAATTAAATAAATATATTAAAAAAAGAAAGAAATAGAAATAACCCAGGGGGGTTCAGGCCCAATTTGGAGGTGAAACTGGCAATTTGAAGCCCATTTGCACGCAGACCTGGGTTGACTTCCAGATTCCCTATGCCTTGGTTGACTTGAGAACATGGTGGACGTTCAATCTTGGCCACCAGATCTGGCCTGGGGCCATCTGGCAAACATCTGGATGAGGACACATGATATGCTACGCTTTAGACATTGCATGGAATCACCTGTTGAAAAATAAAACAAATGCATTTGGGGGACCTGGGATTCGAACCCAGGTCCTGTTGGTACTTGAACACATGCCTTAGCCACTGAGCCAGCGCGCTTTTATTGTTAACATAGTGGATAATAAATATAATATGGAAAACTAACTAATTATGCCAGAATTATAAAAAAAAAGAAGCGCGAATTTATGAATGGACGAATAGGGAGGGAGGGGGCACGTAGTCATCTTCTTCGCCCAACCCTGGTTATTTACCTGCGGATTTTTATCCGCAGCTAAATCCATGGGTTCATCCTAAAATCTTCTCTAGGCCATGGAAATTAATTCCAAACACATGGTTGTGTTCGTCTCCTTCCACTGATCATGTCCATGTCCATTGTTTGCATTGATTTTTCCTGAAACTAAAACGCCCAAAAACAAGAAACAAGAACCCTAGATTCGGGTATGGCATTACAGGCTATAAAAACACAATCAAATATTGCAGAAAGTTTAGAAATCATACAAGAATCATGACTATGCAAATAATTTGTCAAAAAAATGCAAGAATGAGAGGTTGCGATTTCAAATGCAGGGCGGCTTTTAGGGAGACTTGCAGAGCGATTGGGAATGTGAATGGCCTTGCTTTTGATTGATATAGACTCAGTGGATGTCCAGCAAGAGAGTAGTGTTGAGATTTTGCTTTGAGTCGGCCTCTAAAACAGATTTCAGTTTCAAGCTTTTTCAAGTTTTTCTCAAGTTTGGTTTTGGTGATTATGCAGCCTCTAGCTCCTGAACTCGTATCCTTTTCCTTGTATAAGTAACATGGAGTGAATTAGGTCAAGTTTTGGGCTTTGAATCCTTAGGCATTGATGATTTAGGATTTAATTTGATCCTCCATGAAAAAGCTTCCAAATTTGTTCAAAAACCAATATTTTGTGCATGATATAGCTTGATACGAGTTTGATCTTGTCCATGATGACAATTAAGGTCTGTATCAATCAAAAAGATTCCCAGTGATCAAGATTTGGATTTTATTTGGATTTAAATTGATTAAAAATGAATTAATTCAATAAAAATCAAATAAAATAGAAAAATTAATAATTGGACACAAGACTGAAGATAGGACACGTGTGTAGTGTGACAAGATCAAATTAAGTGGAAAAAAGTGGGCCCATTTGACAAAATTTGAAGTTTTGGGGATAGTTGACTTTTGGCAATTTTGGAAAAATGCCCAACTTCAACAATGCATAACTTCTTCAATTTTGAACTTTTGGAGGTGTTATTGGACTTTTTAGAAACCTTGAGATGTCCTATAACCAACCCTTTTGGTCTAATCTCATTATGATATTCCATGCTTAAGTTATAAGCTTTGTAAAAAAATGTGTTTTTGTTGACTTCCAAAAATGACCTATAATGTCCAAATTTGTAACTTTTTGTGAGTGCATTTCTTAATCTTGGGGTATGAAGATGGATTGTATGAAATTGCATCCTATTTAAAATGAGCTTTGTATGGGTCATTTCTCATAAAGTATGAGAAAGTTATGCTTGGTCAAAGTTGAGTTGACTTTTCCTACAAAACCCTATTTTAGCAACTTTTGAGTCTTGATGAATTTTGAGCAATCTATGATGAATCATGATCAAACCTTGATCAAATGATGAAATATCCTTCAAAATGATAATGTTGACAAAAAATCTTAAAGTTTGACTATTTGTAGGTCACAGTTGACTTTTGCCCTAGCACAGACGATTTTTGGACCTCTTGAGCAATTGACTGACTAAACTTCCTCTGCAAGACTTGAAATTTGACATGGATGAGCTTGAGAACATATTAGGACATTGGGGATAACTTGAGGTCATTTGTATGTAAGGACCTTGATGCAACACAAAACCCTAATTTGAGATTGACTGTCTTAGGAGATGACTTGACTGTCCAACTCTTGAGCAATCTTGAGCAACTTGGAGATTCTTCTTGCAATGTTTTGAGAAATATGAGAGGGCAAATTTTGGGGTACAACACTTGCTATTTTCAAAACAAACACCTACGCTTTCAAAACATCTTACAAACTTGAAAATATTTTCAAAAGATCAACATCTTTGTATACATTCTTACGAACGAGAATCATTACAAAGTTTGCCTAAACAATGGCCTCTTTACAAAATACTTTCAAAAATCACACAAAGCACAATTTCAAACAAAAGCAAGTGATCTAGCAAGTAACTATGAGCCCATGGAAAACCATGGATGAAAAGGGTGCTAATACCTTTCCTTTTCATAATCTACCCCCCGAACTCAAGAAATAATCTCAAAGGTCTTTCCTGTGCTTTTTCACCTTTCCTTTTGGATAAAAGAAAATTCAGTGACGACTCTTGCTAACCGCAACATTTGCAATCAAACGCAAAACACCCAAGTCAGTTCTCCCACCGTATCACACATAGTTATAAAACACACAAAATAGACAACATATAAATCAAGCATGTTCATAATTAATGAAAGTAAAATTGCTAAATAGAAAAGCAACAAGTGCTGAAAATTAACAAATTAACAATATGCTTGATCTCTAAAAAAGCTTAGTTCTCATGTCTAAGTTGTCACTATTTATAGTGAGCAATCCATTGTGAATATGCTTCAATTCCATTAAGAAATGACTTCAATTCATATAAATAACCTTAGATGCAGAAATATAACAGTTGAAACAACTAGAAATTGAAAAGATGTGAGAAAAGAGCATTTAAATCATAGAATCTGAGACTGAAACTGAGCTCATTATGGCCTAGAATGCACCCTGATCAGTTGTATCAGAGCCAAAAAAGGAAAGACAATATTACACCCGTTACGACATGTTAGGTTGGCTACGACCAGGCCATAATAAGGCCATATTTTATATATTGAGGGATCCTCTTTGTGCATTCATTATGTGTTTTACCCTAGTTTGCATCCAACTTACCTAATCCTGTCACCTTTCTTCTAGAATTCCTGAAACTTAGAGGAACACGAGAAAACAGAAGTAAAACACACAAAAATAAAGATCCAAATAGTAAAATTTAAACAGATAGCATGCATAAAAACAACCTAAAAGCCATTGATCATATAATATTTTAAATGGTGTGGGACTGTAAGAGACTTGAATGGAAAAATAAAAAGAAATAAAAAAATAATATTTTAAAAGGTAACTTTGAATTGAAATTGAGAGAAAGAGAGATATTTCAAAATTTAAGTATTTGGTCATTTGTTTTATGCGTGAACTATAATTTATAGAGAGAAAAATTAAATAGTTATTACAATAATGAAAAAACACAGTCATGATAATTACTTTGTTTAGTTATTATCAGCTTAATGTGTGCTAGAAGTCAACACATGCTTAAAATTTGTTCTTTGTTTGCTTATATTGCGTCAAATTATAGTATTGATATTACATGTGTTTGAAACATGCATTATCTCCATTATTTGTATTAATTTATGACATGACAAGATACTATTTAAATGTATCTTGCGAGTTATATTTTGTTATCAATTTTATTATTATTATTGAGTCTCACCGTGTTATCTTCAAGAAATTTGACTTTATGTTGATTCATAGTCCTCTTCGACAAAATTGAAATTCTTTCAGTAACAGATGTCACCCAAACAGTTTTTCACAACTGATAAAATTTTATATTGATCTGATTTATAACATCTAAACCTCTTAGCAAATTGATATTTGGGAAGGCTTCTTGTTCTATCATAATAGTAGAAGTTTTATTCAACAAAATGAATGCATCACAACCCTGTTATATGAAAAGTAGTTCAATTTTAATTGATATTGTTATAAAAGTAACTTATATATTAGCACTTATCAGGATAAATAATATATGTATTTGTACTTGAACCATCGGTCGCCCATAAGCACTCTTCATGCGAGAATTTGTAGAAAAGGCATAATGCAATACATTCGTCGATGTTGGTCGCAACCAACCGGGGGGATTCTTCTCTACCGACTCCAGCAACCAACCAAAACGCATATTATTACAAAGGGAAACGAATCAGGGGATTCTTTTCTCCCAACTCCCCTTCATTCAAGGTCTCCAAAGCAAGAGAAGAATTCTTTGAGGTTTGTGAAATTTCAATAAATAGTGAGTTAATTGTGAGAAATATTGTAAATGCAAAGATTATAATAACCTTTCGCAGAATAACGGAGGTCGCATCTCTGATGATGATTCCACACTTGGTGAACACTCTTAAAGCATAGCTGGTGCACCCCTCTTAGGAACTAGCCACTTCAAGAGAGTAGTATGTCGAGCCCTGGAAACATCTGCCTCGAATCTGGACAAACCTGGGGACAGGAACCCTACCTTTGGTCGATGACGGTTCCAAGTGAGACAGGAGGACGAAAGTAACTATTCCCAATCGAAACCAGTAACGACAAAGCTTAGTTGACGGTTTACATTGCCTCGATCATGACCATAGAGTTCAACAAGCATGCTAGACACCATTATCTCACACGCAACAAACAAACTTCCGCTCAAACTCTTGTCATGTTTGAAAGATAATGGTGAAGTTTTCATCATATAAACTACTTCTTTAACAAAAACACAATAAAGTAAGCTTATTTTCACATAAGCTATACATTGGTCTTAAAAGCTATCATATAGAGCTTTTGAAAATAAGATAAAAATAACTTATAAACATAAATATGTTAATATTATAAGATGTTTTCATAAACTCTCCGCCATAGTTTCACAAATGTTTATGAAACTTGATAAACTAATACTAATAGAATTTTGTAAACTAATATCAATCACATGTTAAAACATAAATTCCTGCATTCACCAGTTTAATAAAAACCACATCGTAGTTATAATACACACTGAAAGAAAACACAGGAGTCTTTTAATTCCCTAAACCATATGTTATGAATTTAAACATAAATTAGTAATAATAAAAGGAAATTATTGTTGATATAATAGCCTTTTAGCTAATAACTAGTTAACTAGAAAGAAAAAAAGGTAACACCCTTTAAAACTAGGGAACACCCACCTGCAACAACCAAAACGATGGAGTTAAAGAAGCAAAAGAATAGAATAATGTCCCTTGTTTTTTCCAAGTAATTGGTACAAAAAATAGTATTTGGATCGAAATAATTTGGGTTCGGAGAAAGAAGGGGTGAAGTGAGACAATAATTGAAATTAGAAAGTATGGAATGAAGGTCGGCATAATAATCTCTTTGGATTAAAACATAATGCCACACAAGATTGGGGCCAAGTTAACACGGACAGGGGCTTATCCAAAGAGTTTCTTTTGTGAAAAGCAAATTTAAAACTATAAATTCAACGGGAAAAGTATACATCACAAAACCACCTTGGCCATCCCATACCACTGAATCTGAAGATTTAAACCCTGCCAAAACAAAAGCTAAAGGAGAAATATAAGAAAAGGAAATTTTGATAAGCTAGGAACAACTAAACATGTTCAATAAGTGATTAACGAATAACCACTAACGAGTAAAGTGTCTGAGCAAATGCCTCTCTGCAAAGCCTTCACCATTGGCTTCCCCAAGCAAGTGCACAACCAAAGTAGCACACTAACCAATCAGAAAGAAGAAAAAAAAGACTCAAACACAATCTTACACTACCATGGGATAGTTCATCATCAAAATCTCATATCTTTACACCGTATAATACTTTAATCTCTTCTGACTTTTACTCAACTTGAAGACGTATGATTAAATAAGTAAAAAAATAAGCAGCAAGTGAGGTTGACTGGCTGCTAACCAGAATAATAAATTTGTATCAAAACAAAAAGGTAGTGCACAAACAGAATAATAAAAACTATTATTCTGCTCATATATGAAGCTATCAGAGTTATCAAAAAATCCACTTGAAAAATAGTAGAGAAGAAAAGTGATAACAAACTAGAGAATTGAGACAAAACCAATGAGTGAGAGAGGTAAGCTAACTAGGAAATACTTGTGACAAAAATAGATGTATACTTGTTTCTTTCCAAACAAACATCATCCTCTTGTCTTATTTTGGTTTTAATTTGTACATTATTTGGGATCAACATCATAAGTAAAGTAATGGACAGTAGGCAATAAACTTTGATAAAAAAAAACCACAAGCATAATTGTATTATAAGGCTTATATCATGTTTGTGCATGAATGAACATCACTTGAGCAACAGATAGTGAATTTAAGGTATAACTCATGTTGCTTGCAAAAGACGTTATTAGTTGTCAAATTACAAGTATTTCTAATCTAAATGGTTGAGGTTTCCCTTTAATCAGTGAAGGAATCATATTAGGGTGATCAAGTGAAAAGCTTGTAAGCTTATACTCGTACTAGACACCGACTAAAATTGTTGACTATTTCAAACCCAAAAATAAAGTCAAACATACATGAGAAGCTCCTTGCATATCTCACCTGTTTTCAAAACCAGATTCAATATCGCAGTCACATTGCCTCGTGGTTTGCAGAGACCCTTGATGTAGCTTTTCAAATAACAGACACAAACCGTTTCTCAAACATTATGTGAAACATCTTTTTTCTCCTCATACAGCTTCAACAAATAAGAAGCTTCTTCCTCAAAACAATTCACAAATTTCTTCAAAAATACATCCTCAGAAACCATGAAAGGTGTAATCCATTTATCCTTAGCCAAACCTTTGGATTCAAGATATTTCAAGACAAAAGTCCGAGGAATAACCCTTTTCTCCAAACTCATCATAATAAGTATTGGACGTTTCGCAAGCGCAAGCGAGTCCCAACCAATGTGATCAACAAAAAACTTCATTACTGCCTCAATTTTATCCACAGATGCCATCATACACCATGGATGCCTCAAAAATGCGGCCACAATATCTTGCTCAGACCAACCCCATTTCTTATAGACATCAATCTTGGTTTCCCAAATGGGTTTCATAATCTTAGCACGCAATGCGACAATGAAAAAAGTAGTTTTGGGGTTGAATCCCAATTGAATTAGTTCCATCACTACCTTCTCAAATACGGGAGGATTCTGAGTGAGTACAATATTCCAATTTCGATACAAAATAGCAACTTTAGACTCAGGAACCCCGTTTTGAATGAGGAATTGAATATTCTGAGATGGGGTTTTGGAATAAATGACGCAAACGCGGGATTTAAGAGATGCGAGGGTGGATTCATCGGAAAGTAGGAACCTTTTGACTAAATCATAATATGGGATGATGGAATTTTGCAAGCTGAGATATAAGAACCTTGGATTTTTGGTGATGATGTCGATGAGATCGGAAGTGGAAGCGCCCTTTTGTCGAAGGAAATTGAGTTTGGGGAGAATGGTTTTGTAGGGGTCGTAAGTAAGGAGAATGGGGCAGGTTTTGATGATAGTGGAAAGGTGGGAATTTGAGAAGCCGTGGGATTTGAAAAAGGCGAGGACTGAATCGGGTTTTTGTGAGTTGTGGAGATGGAGTTTGGTGGAGATTTTGGAGGCGGTTTCGGGAGAGAAAGCGAGGTTTTGAATGAGGTAGTTGAGTGTGAAAGAAGGGTTTTGGGATGATGATGAGAAGGGTTTTGTGAATGCGAGGAATGCTCTGCGACTGTAACGAAACATGGCGATGGGTTTTCAGTTTTGCGGCGCGGTGGTGTTAGGTTAGGATGAAATAATTGGACCCTAATAACATGGTGATGGATTATTATATTTTATAATTTGTGTGTAAAAATTTTAAACGATAAATTATTTTAAAATAGAAAAAGTATATATTATGTTTAAAATAATTGAGAAATATAAAATACTACTATATTATATTAATAATGGTTCATTTATACTATCAAATTAGATAAAATGCATCTGAATGCTCTAAGAACAATTTTAATGGAGAAAACTATGCATATAAACGAACATAAATTTTTGTTTTTAAAAAAATCAATAAGTAAAAAGAAAATTTTAAATTTTATTTATTTTTAATCAGGATTATGAGAGGGTTGTGATAATGAAGGAGACAAAATGCTTTATTTTTATTTTTTAATTAATAAAAAAATGTGATTAATTATTTATAAATCTAAATGTTATGTATGTGTCTATTTAAGATTTTTCCTATAAGACTATACAAGCCTATACTAGTATGTAGTGTCATATGTAAGACTCACGTACATTTGAATGTGATGAATATGACAATTTTAGTTACTTTTGAGTTTCTTTGCTTCATTGATGTGGTTGTTTTTTTTAAACAAAGCAAAATTATGATTTCTCATTTATAATCAAAAGTTCAATACAATGAGGAATAACAATATATTTAGTTTAAGAATTGACCGCTTTCGCTAACGAGCATGCAATCATATTCGCTTGATGTTTAACAAATTTTACTTTAAAGTTTGGAAATTGTTTAGTAACAACTTATTATCGCTTATTATAGAATAAAACTCGGAGATTCATGTATTAGCTGATTGAAAAGCTTGTACCACTCTAAGAGAGTCACTTTCAAATATAATCCAATCAAGATTTAAAGAAGTAACACTTTGAATAGTTTCCTTGAAGGCTAAAGCTTCCGCTTCAAGAACCGAAAGGTTATCTAGATCCCATGTCACCCCTGTTGTGATAAAGTTACCGAACTCATCTTTAAGACACCAACCTCTATTTATCGTGCCTCTATTATTATTAAAACATGCATTCAAGTTGCACTTCATCCACTCATTAGGAGGAGGATTTCAATGAAGAATTTGTTGTTGTCCATTATTATTATTCTGAACTTGTTGCGCTGATAATCATTCCCTCCATTTATGATATGCAAGCAAACCAATTTTAGAACCATCTTCATGCTCATCATTCCAAATAAGATCATTTATATTTTTCTACGTAGCTTCAATCGCAATTGCAACTTTACCCATAGTATTCCTATCTTCCTTACTGCAAATATCAAGAATGAGTGATTTTACATCATGAAAAGAATAAGTTTTATGTGGTTGAATTCAAGTTGGGGAGAAAAATGATTGTGTATTTATTGGTTGATTGCTATGAAATTGAATAGAAAAGAAAGAAATAAAGAAAAAAATGTGAAAAAAAGTGATAGAAAAAGAAAGGGAAAAAATAGAAAAGCTTTGAAAAATAAAAATAAAAAAAGAGTATGGAATAATGTTGTGTTAATAAGTGATGTGTGTTGGTGTGAAACTTGTAATGAAGAAGAATTTTGATTGAAATTCTATTGTTTGAAACTTTGTAAAAGTAATTAAACTCTTAAGTTTAAGCATTTTTTTGTTTCGATTAGCTTTGGGACTTATCACTTGTTTGTCAATCAAGCCACATTACAGCCTTGAAAAGCCCTTGAGATTCTTACTTTTATATTTTCAATGTAAATTTTTGGATGAATGCACAATTTAGTCTATTATTTGCAAGATTGTTGGATGAGTGAAAATATCTCATTTTTGTGTGTTTTTCATCTACCGATGATTGTGTTTGCTAGGTGTGATTCATTTGTGAACTAGTATTGTTTTAGAATGTTTGACATAATTTTTGTATTTAGTATTTGTTTTGTGTTTATGTTATAGTCGTAGTTTAGTGGTAAGTGTTTACTTTGTGTGTACTATTTTTTCTTTGAACCATTGCATTTGTTTTCCATTTTCAAAAGCCTGTTGATTCATGATTCTTTGATTTATCATTCTTTGTTCTTTAGGTTATTTGATTTTGTTTGAGGACAAACAATGATTCAAGTTGGAGAGAGTTTGATAAGTACAAAAGTGTAGTTATTTTGTATATACTTTTTATAGCACTTATCGTCTCTTTGTTTGTACTTTTGGTTGAATAATCCCGCTTTTTATTGTAAATATGTTTAATTGCATTTTATGTATATATTGTATCGCTTGATTAAGTTTTGTATATGTTTTGTAGGTATTTGAGCATTGTTGGAGCAATAGGAATAAAGCTCCAAGATGCATTTTTGGATCAATAAAGAAATAAGGCGAAGATTTGAGCCAGTGGAAGTTATGCAGGAAAGCAATAGAAGTTGTTGGACTGTCATGTGTCGTCGAGCGAAACGTCTGTCGTCGGGTGACAGTAGGCGAGAAGAGCCAATTTTGATGTTTCCTCTTCCTTGCTTCGCATCTAGGTCGCCAGGCGAAAATAAGGAGCATCGTTGGGCGAAGCAACGTTAGATATTTGTTTCAGTTGAGAACATGGCTTATCCTGGACCAAATGAATAAGAGGCGTCGACGGGCGACACTTTATGTCTCCAAGTGATTCTCGCGGATCACATTTTCTTTCTACTTTCATTTTGTTTCATTTTGGGGTGGATGGTTTTTGGGGTATTTTGTTCCCGAATTCCATCACCTTCATTTTTGATAGTTAGAACTTAGACAACAACATTTGTGGCTTGCAAATGGATGATTCGGGGTTGTGAGCTTGATGGATTGTGTTTGACACTGCAGGAAATCTGGTTTCTTCTCCTCTTCCTATCTTTATAACCATTATTTGTTGGATTTTGTATGTATTTTACCTTGATTGTATGTGTATTTATTGCTCATGGTGATGTATGAAACTTTCTTTACAAATCTTTATTGATGTTTATCCTTGTTAGCTTGCTAAGTGTCTGGGTTTGAGTCGTTGCAGAGATGAACGGATTGAATCCAGATTTAGGATTAATATCTATTGGGCTTAGATTCTAGTGATAGATTTAGGCTTAGTAATCACTTAGGTATCAAATCTTAATGCTTTTATGTTGTTTTGTGTTGTGCCGAGAGATCATCGACATGGAGCGACACTGTTGATATCTCGCTCTGTGTTAGAAATGACATATGTGTGAGCGATACTTGATGATATTAATGAGTAGTTAAGGTTAAGTACAACTGGCTAGTAAGTTTAAGTATTTGATAGGGTAGATGAAATACAAACTCAAGAGTTTTATCCTATTCGAATGATGAAATTCTTTTTATGTGTATAACTTTTAATTTCAGCACCTTACATACAAAACCATTTTATCCTAAACGCATTAACGAGAGAATTGTCGAACAACAATTTAATAACCAATCTCCGTGGACACAATACGATATAACCTAAATATCACCCGGTAAAAATTAATACTTTACTTTTTGCTTGTCGTTATACCGCTGCAACAAAATGGCGTCGTTGTTAGGGATTAGTTCTATTGTTTTCGGTATTGCGATAATTCTTTTATTTTTGAGTTTTGTAATTAATGTATATGTTGTATAGAAATTTTACATTAACTTTTATATGATATTTGTGCATATATGTGTTTTTACGTATTGTTATGAATTGTCTCGTTTTCGTAATATTTGTTGTGTGATTGTTAGGACACTTTCTTTAGGTTTGTGTAGTGTGACAATATCATGGCATGATGAGAGGAGGTTACTAGCTGGCACCATAAAGGCATCGAGCTTACGACGTAAAACAAGCATGTTTGTTTGTATTTATTTATGTGTGTGGTGATTTGTGTTTTAACAAGTTGAAACTAGGAAATATTCTGAATTTCAAATCTTCACTTTTCAACTTGTTAATTCATTTTCACTCAGTTTTCATATCGTTATTTGTATTTGTTTAATTATGTCAATTTGTGTTTTCCGAAAGCTTGTAGTGTTTAGCTTGAGGAGTTTTGTTCGTTGTATATATTGTAAATTTTGTACATTGAAATTTTGAAGGAGTATTATTTTTCTAATTCTTTTAATTGTTGTTTGGACTCCAATTTTTGTCCGACATCTTGTAGAATATTGAGGTGATTTGTCAAGTTTGATCGTTTCGACTTACGAATGCTTGGTAATGATTTTTTTTAAAGTTTTGTACACGTTTGAGGTATGTGTTTATCGATTTATATACTTTATCATATTCATTATACTTAGACTTTTTATAATTTTTATGATATTCATTCTTTTGTATACTTGTTCATTTTTGAATCACTTTAGTTTCCACCTTTTCGTGAGGTAGCTTTTCATTGTTCATATATGCTGGAGGCCATAATTCTTGTTCTAACTGGATTTTATTATGCTTAATATTTTGCTTGTGTTGATTGTATGAATGCAAGAAAAGGATCAAGGCATTTTTGTTTCATTTTGAGCATAACTACCTAGTCAAATATTCAATTCACCTTGTGAGTGTGTGATCATTAGTAACCCCTTTGAGCTTTTTGTCGATATTCATGTTGTATTTTCTAAATGCTTGTCTATGAGTGTTTAGTTCCCATTTTTGCATGGATGTTGATTCGTTGTTTTCTTGAACCCTCAACCATTGTTTTTGTTTGAATTTTTACCTTGCCTTAGAAATTAGAGAGTATTTACTTTAATGTATGGTTGAATTCAAGTTGGGGAGAAAATGATTGTGTATTTATTGGTTGATTGCTATGAGGTTGAATAGAAAAGAAAGAAAGAAAAAAAATGTGAAAATGAAGTGATAGAAAAAGAAAGGGAAAAAATAGAAAATCTTTGAAAAACAAAAAACAAAAAAGAGTATGGAATAATATTGTGTTAATAAGTGATGTGTGTTGGTGTGAAACTTGTGATGAAGAAGAATTTTGATTGAAATTCTATTGTTTGAAACTTTATGGAAGTAATTACTCCCTTAGGTTTAGTCAATTTTTTGTTTCGATTAGCTTTAGGACTTATCACTTATTT